TTTAAGCACATTCTAGTGGCCCATGAGAATGGAGTGTGAGTGGTATTCTAATGCTGACAGAGCCAATTCTCGCCCTCCCTCGCTTCTCACAATTCAATGCAGGTCAGAAAGGTTCATCCTTGGATACAGAGTGTTCTATGTTACCCAGCAACATCCAATCATACGTATAGCTTCTCTAGAAAATGACATCGGAGGAACCAGAGATTTAAGCTAACTGGTGGCAACGTAAATGGCAGACAAGGCCAACCTTAAAGTGTCTGAACAGAGACCAGTCTTTGCAAGTCTGTATCTCCCCATCAGTTTTATCTGTAATAACTGGAGCAAAGAAACCCCAAGCTTTGGCCCCGTAGCTGGATGTTGTCTATAGCAGTTCCATTTTGATTTTTGATCCATTTAAGTTCTGGATAGAGAAAAGGCTTGAGGTTTTTATTTTTGTCTGTGGCCAATTTGGTAAGGTCCATTTATCCAAGGACCTCACTTCCTGTCCCTGTGAGACCCCTACAAAAAATGGGGGGTGTAGCTGTCACTGGCAGGGCCCCCTATAGGGGGGTAAATGCAGTACGACCAAACACAGCTCATCTTTATCTCTTTGCTAATCAGCCATGGTTTTACTACCTACAAGACTTCACAGCAGTGCCTCTCCTCCGCTGCCTATACCAGCAGCCCCTGAAGGGAGTTGGCAAAGCCTGCTTGAGTGAACCTAGTGAGCAAATTTATTCTAGGAAGTTTAGCAGTCTGAGCTACTTTATGCTGCTTACCAAGCTTCAGCTCTGACTGGCCATGCTGCAAGGGAACATGGACGAGTCATACTACTCTATGTCTGCCCTGTTCCTGCAGCTTCATTGAGAAATGCGGGTCAAAGACATTAGAGAATGGTTGGACTTGCAGGCACCATGTCCCAGTGCACCAATGCAGCACCTACCTGTCCCTCTCTACCTGTTTCCGGCCTAGAAGACATTGCTCAACATGGTGCCTGCAAGTCCAACCATTCTCTAATGTCTTTGTCCCGCATTTCTCAATGAAGCTGCAGGAATAGGGCAGACATACTGCTAAATGTACCCCCTGTGCTTGGTCATATGATATGTGATGTCACTTGACCAAGCACAGGAGACACAAGGGAAGTTCTTTGCCTTCAGAAGCTTCCGTAGGATGTGACCAACTCA